AATAATTATTTTCATTTTAGTCCTGGAAAGTTATGTTTAAATTGTTGAATAGCTTTACCTTGGAGCGAGAGGTAATTATTTGTAATTTATTCAAATTCTTGTTCATCCAACGGAATATTTCGAATTCAAACACGGTCAAAATGTGAGAGACAAAACTGGAACTTCTAAAACAGCAAAATTGTAGAATGTTTTGTGTTTTAATTGTTTTTTTGTTTTAGTTTATTTTGAATGGTAGCTCAGCATATGCTAAAGTATTTAGATGTTGTTCTCTAACTCATATGAACTTCATTAACAACATAAAGACACTGTGAGAGCGTTTTTTGAGAATGAAAATCTACATATTTTCTTAAGCGCAGTTTCCTGGTAAATGTTTGTAGCATTTTCATAAGCAAACAAAATTGTACTTTAGCTTATGAAAAAGTCAAAAACGTGGAAACTAAGTAACTTAACTAAAAAACTTGAGATTATATAGAAACAATTTTTCTGAGAAAATTTAATTTCTTAAAAAATATATCACACTACCAAAAGAAATAAACAAAAAGTATATTCATTTAACATGAATTCTGTTAACTATGAGGATTTACTTTAGCTTTCTTAAAAAAACTGACTTAACTAAAATCAATTATTTTCTTCCCAAAAATGAATTTTTTTTTTGCCACTTTTTGATATCTAACTGACGAAGGGTTAGGGTGCAGCATAGACAATGTAGTGTTTTGACTATGTTTTTATAAGTTAACCAAAAAACTACTTTTGAGACGTTTAGTTCAGGAGAAAAATAAAACTCAAATTTTTTGTGGATCTTAAGAGTTTAAGTAACAGTTGCAAACGTTATTAATTCGTTTGCTTCTCAAAAGTTTTCACATAACTTAAGAGTTTAAGTAACATAACAGTTGCAAACGTTATTAATTCGTTTGCTTCTCAAAAGTTTTCACATAACTTAAGAGTTTAAGTAACATAACAGTTGCAAACGTTAGTAATTTGTTCGCTTCTCAAAAGTTTTCACATAACTTAAGAGTTTAAGTAACATAACAGTTGCAAACGTTATTAATTCGTTCGCTTCTCAAAAGTTTTCACATAACTTAAGAGTTTAAGTAACATAACAGTTGCAAACGTTATTAATTCGTTTGCTTCTCAAAAGTTTTCACATAACTTTAGAGTTTAAGTAACATAACAGTTGCAAACGTTATTAATTCGTTCGCTTCTCAAAAGTTTTCACATAACTTAAGAGTTTAAGTAACATAACAGTTGCAAACGTTATTAATTCGTTCGCTTCTCTAAAGTTTTCACATAACTTAAGAGTTTAAGTAACATAACAGTTGCAAACGTTATTAATTCGTTCGCTTCTCAAAAGTTTTCACATAACTTAAGAGTTTAAGTAACATAACAGTTGCAAACGTTATTAATTCGTTTGCTTCTCAAAAGTTTTCACATAACTTAAGAGTTTAAGTAACATAACAGTTGCAAACTTATTAATTCGTGTGCTTCTCAAAAGTTTTCACATAACTTAAGAGTTTAAGTAACATAACAGTTGCAAACTTATTAATTCGTGTGCTTCTCAAAAGTTTTCACATAACTTTGCAAAACAATTAAAAAAGTTTTAGTTCTATTGCTAATCCAGAATTTTTTTAGATTATTTCCCAGGCCACAAAACAATTTAAAATAGCTAAAAATTTAACTTTATTTGAAATATCTTCACACTTATTATTTAGCATGCTAAATGTTTTTGTGACAGCTAATGTTAGAATATTAAATCATTTGCGATTACTAACGGTGGAATATCCTATTATTTACACTCTGCCCATAATTCTATTGTTATTGTTGTCTTTTTCACCATTTTTTACTGGTTGTTTAAATATTATAAAGTATCAATCAGGGGCAGATCAAAGATTTTTATTGTTTGATGTAGCTAACTTCCAGACATAGAATAACTCCAAATATTTGTATGTTTATACTTATATCAAATAAGGATGCTTTGCAAAACATTGCGATAAAACTATGTAACACAATTTTTGTTACTGGCTTCTAAATGTTACATTTTAATTGCATTATATTCACATAGTTTTCAGCTTTGTGATTACCTAAGAACCCCTGAACAACTGCAACGAAATTGCTCCAAGCCGTTTTCTCCGTCCTGTTCAACAGCTTTGCAAAATCCTCATATTCTATAATCTTTTTGATCTGTGGTCCGGCGAATATATTTGCTCTGACATTAACCTCAAACAGCTTTGGAAAAAGATCTTTGAGTATTGAAATGCTGCTGACTGCTTGCCAAGAGTGGTGACAAATTTCTTAAAGAGGTTTAACTTAATGTGCAGCGATGGCAGAAGCACTTTATGAGGTTCTATCAACGGCTCCCACTTCACATTGCTCTTCCCAACAGAAAACTCGGTCCGTTGTGGCGGTCTTTTGTGCAATAATGCGCCTTAGTGTCACTGCTGTCCAAGAGACAGAGGAAAAAAGGAAATTTTGTGAAACTTCTTTGTAGACCCGTGAGGAATGATACCATTTTTAAGAAACCGATAACCTCCCATCCGTGGTCTTCATAAATTAATGTACTCAGCAACATTTTAACACTAGTGTAGTTTTCTTTAAGATGCACAGAGTAGGCCATTTGGGAGAGCCGAACTGTCTATGAATTAACCAAGTTCCACTGTTTGAGCCTGGATATCAGAAGCTCAGCAGTCGGTTTTGTAAGCCCGAGGTTCCAAATTAAATCGTTCACATCTTTCTGGTTAGGGAAGTACTGCTTTCTATCCCCAGCTATCCTTTATCTTCACAATTGTATAAACTGTAATTCTGACTTGCTGTAGTCTCTTGAAGATAGCCGATGCTGCCTCGGAAGAGTCGGAACAGGTAGATTGGAGCTGTGTGGTACTGGGGCGATGAAAGAAGGTGTCCGGATAAACAATCTGAGTGGCATTTCTGCTGGTGAGACAAACTTTTGGGTATACCATGCAGAGTTGCCTGAGTGGTCTGTCGGCTCTCGCCAAATTCGCGGAATAGCAAACTTCATGACTTGCCTCTCTCCTCTGTATCAACCTGTAACATAGCACATAATAATACATAAGAATTATAATAATTTGAGGACAAGAAATTTCAAAATATGGAATGATTTCAAGGTGGAACGTGTTTGCCTACAGAACACATGACAAAACTTTGTAAATTACAATTCCTTGAATTGAATTAAATTAAACATGGAAGTATAAAACAGATGGAAGTACATCAACCCATAAACATCAAAGCAATTTGAAGTCGTCTCGGAAGTATGCTTGTAACCATAAAAAGTAATCGAGTTTCACTGGACAAAAAATAACAAAAACTCACTGAAATGATTTTTATTGTAACATTAAAAAAATTATTTAAAGGTACTCTACTAAGTTTTAACCATACGTTATTGCAATTATTCAACAAAATGTTTATCAAAACTCGGTAATTAAATAGAATCACTTTATTTTAAAAGCAGATGTTAGTTTCTTTTCTTGCTTCAAATCATAACACGAGATATGATTAAAAAGACAGCTAAAACAATTTTTAAAAAATCAAAAAAAAAAGTTTTCTAAATTACTAAAGCTTAAAATTTTATTAGCTGTATATCATAATTCTATTCATTCTTGTAAAACTCCATTCATTTAACATAAAGTTTATAAAAAAGTTGTTGTTTGCCGTTTCGTTACGCTAATTTTTATGTTTGTAAGTTAAAACACATCTAAACAATAAGCAATTGTTCAGTTGTTTACCTTCAAGTGTATTCTTGCAATACTTGCATGTGAAATGCGGTGCCCAAGTTTTGTCTCGGTCCCCAACCGGCCCGCCGAAGTACGCCGTGTAGGCCTCGCACATTATACGATTTGCTTTAACGTAAAAACTTTTTCACTTTTGTTTTTATGAACTGCCTGTACACGTAGTAGATTGAATCAGCTGGGTGCAAACAATCTCTTGATACCAAATGACTTCTCTTCAACTACAAATCGTTATCTTTTCAATCTGCAATAACACGAAGTGGAAACTTGGTTCGAGACACTTGTGCTTTTATACTTGTATAGGTACTTTTGGAACGTTCAACAAAGAGTTCTAGAAAATTCTGAGAGTTTCTCGAAAGTTTTGGAAGTTTCTTAATCGTTCTAGAGTATTTAGGAAAACTGTAGAAACATCTCGACAACTCTAGCGGTTCAGGAATAATATAGGAGAAAGCTCGGCATCGAAAGCAAATCGAGAATTTTCTTGAAAATATGCAATTTTCAAAACTTCATTGTCCCGGTCACAGAAGCAAAGTTTTTCTGGAATAACAGCAATTTCCTTTCTAACAGGTTAGGAAAACACTTTTTTAACCCAGGAACAGAACAAAAGTAAAAGTGTGTTACATAGTGTAATTGGAGCCTTAGAACAAAAAAGCCCTAAAGTTTTACCCCCCCCCCCTTGCTCCAAACGTGAGAGCAACAAATTAATAAAATATTTGTTTTTGAGTGGGTTTTAAAATTTAAAACCCTCTCAAATTGAGTGAGTAACAAATTAGAGTTTGCTTCGCGTCTGCAAGTTAGCTATCTCTAACTTAAAAAAATGCTTAATCCGCCCCTGGCATCAATAATAATGATAATTTCTCCTGAATTTCACTTTCTACTTTCATTTATTTTCCGTGACTTTGCTCTAGTAGAATTTGTAACATCTAGTTTAGATTTTTTATGTATTTTGATTCAAAAATTCTTTGCACTTTGTTTAAAAGAAAATTCCATTCAAATTTTTGAAAATACAGATACTGGTCTATATTTGGAAACTTTGAAGTGATTATTGTTTTTAAAATTTGGTTTAACTTTGATGTAAACTGCAATTTAATAAATAATTTAGTGATAAAAATAGAACTTCGCATAAAAGAAATCTCTTTGTTCAATCATTTACCCATTCAGTCAAAAAAATACAAATTTGTTGTTATGATTTATTAATTATTTTTTTCTAAACAAATTTATCTTTAAAAAAAGAATGAAAATTTAAAACGATTACCAGAGACTACGAGAGTGCAAAGACGTAAATTTATAAAAAAAGTTAAAAAAACGAATAAATTAACTTTAACAAAAATAATCGCTAATTTTGCGAGAAAACTAGTGTTTTTTTTAAAAAAAAAAAGCTGGTTACGGCAATTTAAAAAAATTGAAAGCATTCCGCGATGAAATTTTTTTTTAAACTTATTGTGGTTATTTTATGGAGCGATAGTTTAAATATCCAGGTTACTACAATAAGTAAGTTTTTTTGTCAAATACTTTTAAAATTCAACTTGACTAATATGCTAATTAATTTTATTATATAAACTATAATTATTTTATCATATAACTAAGTTATATAACAACTTAATTACTAAGTTGTAATATAAATATTAACGTAATGACCTTATAAAACAGATATTATATCATCAGATAGTATCTTCACGAAGATAATTTGATTTTCTTATTTGCAAACAATTTTTTTATTATTAAAAACTTTTTGCGCATAAGTTGAAAAAAACATTGACATTTTTAGAATGTAAATCAGTGACTATTTACCGTAAAAACATAGTAGTTTCTTACAGTAAGATACCTTAAAAAAGTTATTTTGGTGAAATTGAACATAGAACATGAAATTGAGATTACGAAAAGTTTTATATTATGAAAAATTACAAACTAATTCACCAAAGGAATGAAAACCGTACTCAAACTTTTTCTTTCTCAGTTTAGTAAAAATAATTTGTTTTATTTTTAAAGGCAAATAAAATGTCCACGACTTATATTTCAAAGGTATTTATGGGATGATTTATAGAATTGCGAAGATGTAAGCCATTTATGGATATGGCATTTATAATACATAGGTGGTATTTGGCAAAATCGACATTGTTAGCTAGTTAACTGAGTCTCTAAGCGTCAACCAAACACAAAATCTTCAAAGTACGGTTTTCGAGATCCCAGACACACTAAACAACTCAAACTTGTTCAAAACTGCTAGGAATGACTTCACAACTTGTTCAAAACTGCGAGGAAAGAAACAATTTTCTCACCAACCGTGTGCTAAACCATGAAACGCTATAACCAAAAAAAGTGAATTCAACAAATCTAAATAAGTTCAAACACGAACTTTACCATAACACCTTAATTGTAATTTGATAGCTTAAGACTGTAGTTTCATCACAGAGCGACCGTCCAGGCCTAATGTGCCGCTCTTTATCAATAACTTGTAAATTTAACTTTTTGAGAATAAACTTAAAAATAAAAATAAGTATTATTGCGATGCGTGTGGCCATATGTGGCTACCACTTAATTGAAAAATATCAAAAATAGAGTGTGGCCATCATTTAATGACATATATGGCCCACAACAAATTTTCTTGTCGGATACTTTACATTAGGCAATTTGTATTTTCAACTAGTAAGAAATTCATTTTGTTTATATGCTAATAATTACAAAAAACCAATTATGAATCAAAAGCTCTTACTTGTCCCTTTATCTTATTAATAGATGCTATAGTAAATATGTTATACAAACTGCAGGTACTAAAAGACTTGAATCCAGCAAAAGTGTACAAGATTTATTCCATTTGTGAATTTTTGGCTAATCTTAACGAATCTTCTAAGTTAATGACTAGACTGATGATAATATTTACTTAATAAAAACAAGGATCAGGTATTTCCTGAGAAAAATGAATATTAAGGTGGTACAAAAGTGTTTTACTTGCACAGAGGGACACAAAGACTTGACCAAATACGTCGTTTCTGAGATAGATTCAATTGACACATTGATTTAATAAAGTTTTTTTTTTGTATATATTATTAAAAGTATACATTTAATAATACACACACAAAAAAAGTTTATTGAATTAATTTTTCTATTGAATATATATATATATATATATATATATATATATATATATATATATATATATATATATATATATATATATACTCCCAGTGGGTCTTGGGCAAGGCCCAAGTGAGGGTACAATTGGCTTTTCCTAAAGGAAGTTAGGGAACGCCGTTCTCCTCCGTTCCCCTGCAAATTAACCACTGCATATTTATTTTTTTTGGTTTACATTTGTTATTCGTTGTACAGCCCATAATAAAAATAATAATATAAAATTACAATGGCATAAAACATAACAAACATAAACAAGGTATCTTAAAGAAGATCGCAAGGATCTTGTCATCAGAACCTTGAAAAAGCATTTAACAAATATAAGATTAAAAAAAAAATTTATAAACTTTTACAAAATTGCAAGGCAAACAATCTGTGTCTGAAGAAAGATCAAGAGGATCTTCTCATCAGATTTTAATACAGAGTAAACCAACATATAAATTAAAAAGTAAAAAGTGTAAGAACGATAAATAAAATAAGTAGGAATAAACTTCTATAAACATAAAACTTCTATAAACAAAAAAAAAATAGACCAAAATATATTTTTAACTTTTACTGCTAATAATCACTCAATATATTATCTAATGAAAGAATGAGGTTTTTCAATTTTTTTTTAAAAAGGCAAAAAGTAATAGGTACTTCAAAATTAAAATTCGCCAAAACAATTTTATTCCAAAGGTGTGACGCTCGATAGGTAATACAAAATTGATTAAAGTTTGTTTGACAGAAAGGCTCATTTAAAATTGATTAAAGTTTGTTTGACAGAAAGGCTCATTTAAAATTGATTAAAGTTTGTTTGACAGAAAGGCTCATTTAAAATTGATTAAAGTTTGTTTGACAGAAAGGCTCATTTAAAATTGATTAAAGTTTGTTTGACAGAAAGGCTCATTTAAAATTGATTAAAGTTTGTTTGACAGAAAGGCTCATTTAAAATTGATTAAAGTTTGTTTGACAGAAAGGCTCATTTAAAATTGATTAAAGTTTGTTTGACAGAAAGGCTCATTTAAAATTGATTAAAGTTTGTTTGACAGAAAGGCTCATTTAAAATTGATTAAAGTTTGTTTGACAGAAAGGCTCATTTAAAATTGATTAAAGTTTGTTTGACAGAAAGGCTCATTTAAAATTGATTAAAGTTTGTTTGACAGAAAGGCTCATTTAAAATTGATTAAAGTTTGTTTGACAGAAAGGCTCATTAAAAATTGATTAAAGTTTGTTTGACAGAAAGGCTCATTTAAAATTGATTAAAGTTTGTTTGACAGAAAGGCTCATTTAAAGTTGATTAAAGTTTGTTTGACAGAAAGGCTCATTTAAAATTGATTAAAGTTTGTTTGACAGAAAGGCTCATTTAAAATTGATTAAAGTTTGTTTGACAAAAAGGCTCATTTAAAATTGATTAAAGTTTGTTTGACAGAAAGTCTCATTTAAAATTGATTAAAGTTTGTTTGACAGAAAGTCTCATTTAAAATTGATTAAAGTTTGTTTGACAGAAAGGCTCATTTAAAATTGATTAAAGTTTGTTTGACAGAAAGGCTCATTTAAAATTGATTAAAGTTTGTTTGACAGAAAGGCTCATTTAAAATTGATTAAAGTTTGTTTGACAGAAAGGCTCATTTAAAATTGATTAAAGTTTGTTTGACAGAAAGGCTCATTTAAAATTGATTAAAGTTTGTTTGACAGAAAGGCTCATTTAAAATTGATTAAAGTTTGTTTGACAGAAAGGCTCATTTAAAATTGATTAAAGTTTGTTTGACAGAAAGGCTCATTTAAAATTGATTAAAGTTTGTTTGACAGAAAGGCTCATTTAAAATTGATTAAAGTTTGTTTGACAGAAAGTCTCATTTAAAATTGATTAAAGTTTGTTTGACAGAAAGGCTCATTTAAAATTGATTAAAGTTTGTTTGACAGAAAGGCTCATTTAAAATTGATTAAAGTTTGTTTGACAGAAAGGCTCATTTAAAATTGATTAAAGTTTGTTTGACAGAAAGGCTCATTTAAAATTGATTAAAGTTTGTTTGACAGAAAGGCTCATTTAAAATTGATTAAAGTTTGTTTGACAGAAAGGCTCATTTAAAATTGATTAAAGTTTGTTTGACAGAAAGGCTCATTTAAAATTGATTAAAGTTTGTTTGACAGAAAGGCTCATTTAAAATTGATTAAAGTTTGTTTGACAGAAAGGCTCATTTAAAATTGATTAAAGTTTGTTTGACAGAAAGTCTCATTTAAAATTGATTAAAGTTTGTTTGACAGAAAGGCTCATTTAAAATTGATTAAAGTTTGTTTGACAGAAAGGCTCATTTAAAATTGATTAAAGTTTGTTTGACAGAAAGGCTCATTTAAAATTGATAAAAGTTTGTTTGACAGAAAGGCTCATTTAAAATTGATTAAAGTTTGTTTGACAGAAAATTTAAAAAGCTATTATTTCTCGAAATATATTTACTGACAGGTTTAAAAGAGAAAAGATCTTTGAATACAGCTAGGGATAAGTTATTTATCCACATATACTCAAAACATAAAATATTAAATACATTTATCTCGTAAATATTCAGAATTCTCATTTCAATAAAATAATGCTTCGAATGAGAGAAGCGGTTTGCAAAATTGATTATACGGATTGCGCGTTTCTGACGTAGATAAAGACGTTGCAACTTGGCTTAATCATAGTCATAGTATTTAATAGTAGTTAAATACTATGACTATGGCTTAATTTAAATAACTATGTATAAATGAATAATAAAGCTGGACTAAGACTTTCTTATTAAGATAGATTCGTGATTCATATAGGATGCCTATGTTTTTAGAAACTTTTGTGCTTATATAATTAATATGGTGATTCCAAGTAATGTTTTCATCAAGATAAACACCTAAAAATTTTATAACAAAATCTCTTTTTATTTCCTTTTGATCGATAAAGATTTGAGGTAATTTTGGTGGGAGAAGTCACTTTTTTGTAATCGAATGAAATAAAACCCATTTTGTTTTATTAGTATTCAAGGTTAACTTATTACACTTGAACCAATTAGATATATGTCTGAGTTCTTTGTTCACTGTTTTAAAAAGTTCATCGATATCATAGTTAGAAATAAATAAATTTGAATCATCTGCATACATAATGCTTGTTAGTTTTGAAGCTTTATTTAAGTCGTTTATATAAATTAAAAAAAGGAGAGGTCCAAGAATTGAACCTTGTGGGACTCCACAGGTTATATTAAGAAAAGTGGGTTGGTAATCATTGTTAAATGGTACATGTTGCTTTCGGTTAGATAGATAACTTTTAAACCATTTTAAAATTTTATTTTTTATTCCATAGTATTTGAGTTTATAAATTAAAATATGGTGATCGACCGTATCAAAAGCTTTTAGTA